CAATCTTGGCTCACTGTAACATCTGCCTCCAGGGTTAAAGCGATTCTCCTGCCTCAGCCTCCTGAGTAGCTGGGACTACAAGCACCTGCCACCACGCCTGGCTAATTTCTGTATTTGCAGTAGAGACAGGGTTTCACCATGTTGGCCAGGCTGGTCTTGAACTCCTGGCCTCAAGTAATTAGTCCACTTTGGCCTCCCAAAGTTCTGGGGTTACAGGTGTGAGTCACAGTGCCTGGCCTGTAACTCTTCTATGTTTAGATATGGTTAGATACATAAATACCATTGTGTTACCATTGCCTGCAGAGTTGAGTACAGTAGCATGCCACACAAGTTTGTAGCCTGGGAGTAAGAGGCTCTACCATATGGCCTTGGTGTGTAGTAGGCTATACTGTCTAGGTTTGTGTAAGTACCTCTAAGATGTTTGTATGACTAAATTGCCTAAGGATGAATTTCTCACAACATATCCCTGTGCTTGAGGGCACATGACTCTATTTACACAAGAGAAAAGAAAGCATATGTCCACACAGACTTTGTACACAAATGTTCGTAGAAATGTTATTTGAATTTTTTTTTTTTTTTTTTTTTGGAGATGGAGTCTCACTCTGTCGCCCAGGCTGGAGTACAGTGGCATAATCTCAGCTCACTGCGACCTCCACCTCTTGGGTTCCAGCGATTCTCCTGCCTCAGACTCCCGAGTAGCTGGGATTACAGGTGCCTGTCACCATGCCTGGCTAATTTACATATTTTTAGTATACACACATATACACTGTGGGATTCCATTTACGTATAATTCTACAATTCTAGAAATGCAAACTAATCTATAGTTGCAGAAAGCAGGTCAGTGGTTGCTTGGGGACAGGGCTGGGAGTGGCAGGATGGTGAGATTACAAAGGTGTAAGAGGCAATTTGTGGGGTGACCTGTATGTTCATTATCTTGAGTATAGATAGTGATGGTTTCATGGGTATACACATTTGTCAAAACTTTTCAGCTAGGCAAGGTGGCTCATGCCTGTAATCCCTGCACTTTGGGAGGCCAGAGCGGGCAGATCACGAGGTCAGAAGTTTGAGACCAGCCTGAACAACATGGTGAAACCTGTCTCTACTAAAAATACAAAAATTAGCCAGGCATGGTGGCACATGCCTGTAAACTCAGCTACTCTGGATGCTGAGGCAGGAGAATCGCTTGAACTCAGGAAGTGGAGGTTGCAGTAAGCTGAGATCATACCATTGCACTCCAGCCTGGGTGACAGAGCAAGACTCTGTCTCTAAAAAACAAAACAAAAACAAAAAAATTTCAAATTGTACACTTTAAATACCTACAATGTATTGTACTTCAATTACTTTCAATAAATCTATAACAAAAAATTTGATTTTTTAAGACTTATAAAGCAGCCAGGTGCAGTGGCTCACACCTGTAATCCCAGCACTGTGGGAGGCCAAGGTGGGTGGATCACGAGGTCAGGAAATTGAGACCATCGTGGCTAACATGGTGAAACCCCATCTCTACTAAAAATACAAAAAATTAGCCAGGCATGGTGGCACATGCCTCTAGTCCCAGCTACTTGGGAGGCTGAGGCAGGAGAATTGCTTGAATCTGGGAGGTGTAGGTTACAGTGAGCCAAGATGGTGCCACCGTACTCCAGCCTGGGCAACAGAGCGAGACTATCTCACAAAAAAAAAAAAAAAGACTTACAAAGCATAAAGCTGGGCCCAAAATAGTAACCCCTGCCATTTGTAATGTTGCATTATCTGGCACTTTCTTTGCAAAGTCCTTTGCATAGATTATTTCATTTAGTTCTCAAAATGGTCTTGTGAAGTGTTTTTAAATGAAATTTTGGAGGTTTAGATAGAGTAACTTACCTAAGGCTACACACAAAGCTACCAGAGTGAAGGAAGGATTCAAACTCAGGTCTGTCAGACTCTGAAGCTGGGCTCTTAACTGCTGCATGATACTGCCCTCTATGGTCTTCCCGAGGTACTAACATCAGTGAGGCCTGACTTCTTTTTATTTATTTATTTTTTGTTTTTTTGAGACCGGGTTTCGCTCGTTACCCAGGCTGGAGTGCAATGGTGCGATCTCGGCTCACCACAACCTCCGCCTCCTGGGTTCAGGCAATTCTCCTGCCTCAGCCTCCTGAGTAGCTGGGATTACAGGCACGCGCCACCATGCCCAGCTAATTTTTTGTATTTTTAGGTTTTACCATGTTGACCAGGATGGTCTCCATCTCTTGACGTCGTGATCCACCCGCCTCGGCTTCCCAAAGTGCTGGGATTACAGGCTTGAGCCGCCGCGCCTGGCAGACTTCTTACCCGTGAGATCATCTTTAACTGTTAACTAAGGAACTCACCTTTTTTTTTTTTGAGACGGAATTTTGCTCTTTTGCCAGGCTGGAGTGCAGTGGCGCAATCTTGGCTCACTGAAACCTCTGCCCCCGGGTTCAAGCGATTCCCCTGCCTCAGCCTTCCAAGTAGCTGGGATTATAGGCACATGCCACCGCAGCCGGCCAATTTTGCATTTTTTAGTAGAGAAAGGGTTTCCCGATGTTGGTCAGGATGGTCTCAAACTCCTGACCTCAGGTGATCCACCTGCCTTGGCCTCCCAAAGTGCTGGATTACAGGCGTGAGCCACAGCCAGGAAGCCACCCACCTAACTTTCATCCAGAGTGCCTGGATCAGGGTAAATAGTACATTACCCTAGAAAAATGGATGTGTCCTAAGAACTTCTTTTTGGGGTCCGGGGATGTGGGAGGGAGACTTGTTTTTCCTCCCCACCCCAATCTATCGCTTCTCTCCAACTGCTCCCCACACCCCTCCCAATGTTTCTGGGCCTATCTCACCTTGCTCCCTTCCCACACATTCTCATATTTCAAAAATGATGAATGCAACACTGATCTGAGACAAGAGAGCAGAGAGAAAAGGGTAGGAAAATAGCTTTTGGAGGCAGCTGTGAAGTCAGGGTCCTTGGATCTGTAGGTAGCGTGACTTGGGACTCCAGATCACACTGCACACTTGGCTTGTGAGCCTGATGCTCACCAGGACTCCGTTGCACCTGTTCGTGCAGTCACCAGAAGCCCAGGACTGCAGCTCAATCCACATCTCTCAGATTCGAATTCCCATGCAGCCCTTTCTGACCCCATTTGCACTCTTACCCATCTCCTGAAACCCCTTCACAGGTTTCTGGAACCCAGGATTCACCATCAATAAAAAAAGTCAACAATCCCTTCACATTTGCTCTGCAGTATGGTTTGCTGACCAGTTGCATCACAGTCACTTGGGAAACTATTAAAATGCAGATTCCTGGCCAGGCGCACTGGCTCACACCTGTAATCCCAGCACTTTGGGAGGCTGAGGCGGACAGATCCCTTGAGATCAGGAGTTCAAGACCAACCTGGCCAACATGATGAAACTTCGTCTCTACTAAATATACAAGAATTAGCCGGGCGGGCCAGGGGTGGTGGCTCACGCCTGCAATCCCAGCACTTTGGGAGGCCGAGGCGGGTGGATCACGAGGTCAAGAGATCGAGACCATCCTGGTCAACATAGTAAAACCCTGTCTCTACTAAAAATACAAAAAAAGTTAGCTGGGCATGGTGGTGCGTGCCTGTAATCCCAGCTACTCAGGAGGCTGAGGCAGGAGAATTGCCTGAACCCAGGAGGCAGAGGTTGCGGTGAGCTGAGATCGTGCCATTGCACTCCAGCCTGGGTAACAACAGCGAAAACTCCGTCTCAAAAAAAAAAAAAAATTAGCCAGGCATGGTGGCAGGAGTCCGTAATCCCAGCTACTTGGGTGGTTGAAGCAGAATTGCTTGAACCTGTGAGGTAAAAGCTGCAGTGAGCTGAGATCACGCCACTGCATTGCAGCCTGAGCAACAGAGTGAGATTCCTGGAGACAGAATCAAACAGCATACTCTGTACTTAGAACCAAGAGTATGTTTTGAGTTTGTAAACTCAGAAAAGGTTTAGAACCCATGTGACAGGCTGTGCCTCTACACTTCAAGAGAAATCTTGATCAGTTCTCGAAGTACAACTACAGCCATGATTTAGTATTTGAATCTGGTCATACAGAGCAAGCTGGAATTTAGGATCAGATTCAGCACCCATTTTTGCCTTGGACCTCTAATTTTCTTGTCACTTCCTGTTTACCCTTGGTGTGATGAAGTTATTACAGTGTAGTAAGTGTAAAGGAAGGACAGTGATAACTTGAGTCTCCCTAAAGGATTTATATTGCCAAATTTAATGTGCTTACAAAACTCTAAGATTTGCCACAGGTATTCCAGTACATGCACTGGTACACTGATAATCAAGTCAGCTCAGCAGTTCCTGTCTAGAACTTTTGTGGAGGAGTGCATTCAATTAACAAGACAACCTCCACACTTACTCTACCCTTCTTAGGCTGAGTGTGGTGGCTTACACCACCAGCACTTTTGAGAGGTCAAGGTAGGTGGATCACTTGAGGTCAGGAGTTTGAGGCCAGCCTGGCAAACATGGTGAAACCCCATCTCTACCAAAAAAATAAATTAGCTGGCACATGCACGTAATCCCAGCAATTTGGGAGGTTGAGGTAGAACTGCGTGAAAGGGGACAGGAGTGCAGGCAGCTCCCAAGTGTCTTAAAATCTCCACACTATATAGGTTTAACCTTTTACTGGCAGTAAGAACGATTTACTCCCAAATAGATTATTTTTCCCTGAATTCAAGGACAAAACTGTTGTCACACACCATCTCTATACTTCCTGGGATGTCTCAGGTTTCTACAACTGTCTTTAGTGACTTTTTCCAAGGTAGGAAAGTAAGGATCTGAACATGAATCCTTTTAGGCTCTGACGCTATCCATAAGACAGCCACCTACTATTCAAGTCCCCCTCCAGGGGTATAACACCTCAATTTTCAGTCACTTCACAATATGCTCCTCTCTCAACTGTTTTTCCTTATTCTCCTAATTTGTACCCAGTTTTAGAATGTCAACTTAAAATTGACGCAGTTGAATGAATGCAACAGTCACAGGTGCCTCAACTTTTTATTTCACACAGCAAGTTGTGAAGCCAAGGATATGACTGCAAACAAGGTTTATTAAATGAATAGCCAGGCAAGATGGCTCACACCTGTAATCCCAGCACTTTGGGAAGCCTAAGGGGTTAATTATCTGAGGTCAGGAGTTCCAGACCAGCCTGGCCAATATGGTAAAACCCTATTTCTACTAAAAATACAAAAAATTAGCTGGGTGTGATGGCACATGTCTCTAATTCTAGCTACTTGGAAAGCCAAGGCAGGAGAATCGCTTGAACCCAGGAGGCAGAGGTTGCAACGAGCTGAGATAGCATCATTGCACTCCAGCCTGGGCAACAGAGCAAGACTACATCTCCCACCCCTCCCCACCACCAACAACAAAAAATTGATTACATAAATAAGCTTTCTTCCCCACGAAAATACTGCTTGTTATTTCACACTTGGTCTAACACACACAAAATCCCCACCCTATCTGGCACAGATACACTTAATAAGCAATATCAAGTACAATTTCCATTTTATTTTTCTCCAGAGAATAGTTATCTTCAGTCTTTTACTCAGCTCCTTACATAGGTTTTGGTGGGGGTCGTGGGGCAGCACCCTGAAAGACAAAAAGAAGAGTGAATTTGTTCTGTGCTGCAGCGAAGAAAAAAAGCAAAAACAAAAGAATAAATTAAAAACCATGAATCCAAGACTTCCTTCCCTCAAATAACTTGACACCATCCTCTCAATGTATTCAAGCTACAAATGCATTGGAAGCTGGTAGAGGTGGAGGCAGAACACTGAAAACCAATTCTGATTCTAACACTGCTTTGCAGTGTCTCTAATAAGCATGTTTAGGCGTGGGTCTCATCTGCCTACACCTTAACCTGAGGCAAAGATCTTAATTTAAACCATCACTGCCCTGGCTTCCAGTCTCCTTTTAAAATACTCACCGCAGGTCTAAATCGGGGTGGAGGTGTTCGGTCCTTGCGGGCTTCACGAGATCGATTCCTGACTACTTTGCTGTGAATTGCACAACTCACACAGTAATGTAGCTTCACATAGAGCTTGGGAAGTACATAGGCTAAGGAATAGAAAATAGTTATACTGGTATCATATACCTACATTGCTTTTTTGTTACGCGAACCAACAGCATCTGCCATATTTACATCAAGTAAAGCCAAACTTATTTAAATGCCTGTCAGGCACACAAAAGTACCCCCAAAGCAGCTGACGTACAACCCTAAGTTTTACAAATGAGTAACATCCCACGTGAGTTCATCTTAACACTACAAGGACCAGACTGACACTTTGAATGCAACAAACCGAGAATCCAGTTCCTTCAACAGCTACACCAGCCCTAATGCCTACCCTGAACTTTGCTCTCTACAAATAATCAATAGTACAAGAATTGTCAAATTTACCAAATTCCTAGTGTTTTTTGGAACCTCAGACCCGAAACAGGCGAACTTTTACCTCACAGTAAAGGCTGTGTGCTGTATCACAAAAAGTCACCCCCTGCCCAGAGAAGAATCAAAACAACAAACAAGAAAATATACTACACTGTTCTCTTCTACCAGCAACCACCTTAAATACGTGGAAATTGCCTGAGAGGCTCCAACGAACGGAGCCTGTAAATAAGTCGAGGTTCGGGAAAGGCTTTTAGATACTGAGAGCCTCACGCAGTTCTCGCCAGTGGCTCACTTACCATCAAAGACGCTCGCTTCAGAAATATCCCTGACTGCTGCGGCCTCCACTATGTTTCGAATGACGAATTTCTTAATGGCCTTATCCTTGGGCACGCATCGGGCACAATTCGTGCAGCGAATAGGCTGAACATGGCCGCGGCCCTTTTTGGCACGACCGTTGTTCCTTCTTTTCTTTGTCTACATCAGGATGGAAAACCTGTTAGGAAGGCCGCGCAACTTACCCAGCCTCATGCTCTTTCTGGCTACAAGCCGCACTGGGAGCCTCCAGGAAGGCGCTGCTCGGATCTCCTGTTCCTCCGCAAATCCCACCAAGCCCCGGGGCAAACGTACACTCTACCCACTCCTCAGCCGTGCTCGAGGATCTCCAATCTCTACAATCCCAGAGTCCGCACCCGACCCCCACGCTTACCACGCAGTAGGACTCACCATCTTGGAAGCTCTCAGCGGAGAAAGAATGCGACAAGCGGCAGGGCCCTCTTATATATTGAGAGATCCCTACGCGCACACCGTAGGTGACAGGCGTCAAGAATGGCAACTCACTTTACTCAAATATTCCTTTACGTTTAGCATTTCTACTGAAATACAGGGTTGGAAGGCGTTCCTAGCGTTTACTTATCCGTGGAACAACGTGCACATGGGACTATTTAGCCGGCTGGCGGAAGAAAATCGGTGTTATGCGTCTCCCAACAAGCCTCGCGCCGCGTCGACCCGGACACAATTCTGAGCGGTGCAGTTTTTCCGGTTTACGCGACGGTAGGCGCGGAAGTTGCCCGGCGCTGGACTACAAGACGCACTCCCTATTAGAGGCCAGAGAAGGAGAGATGCCTGGTGGGAGTTGTAGTGCGAAGCCAAGAGGCCCCCCTGGCCCCAAGTCCTTAGACCGAAGGCGACGCTGCGCCACCGGGGGACGCCCTCGGCTCATTTCTCTGACAGTCTTGCTACTAGGTAGGTGTAGGATTACGAAGAGGAAAACATGAGAGAAACATTTTGTGAATCCCTCCTTCCAATAAGGAGAAAACCCCACAACGAAGTGCATTGAGGCTGGGGCTATTTCTCATTCGTCTTTTTATCTCTGGACCCGTGGGCACAATGCCTGGCACTGTGGTAAGAGCCTTTATAAATATTAACCCATTTAACTTTCAGCAAGCCTATAGGTAAGTGCTATGTCCCTCCCACCCCACCACCTGCCGGCGGAGGCTTCCTCTGTCACCCAGGCTGGAGTGCAGTGGCACGATCTCGGCTCGGCTCGCTGCAACCTCTGCCTCCCAGGTTCAAGCAATTATCCGGCTTCAGCCTCCCGAATAGCTGGGATTTTAGGCGCCTGCCACCACACCCAACTAAATTTGAAGTAGAGATGGGGTTTCACCATGTTGGCCGCAGTGGTCTCGAACTCCTGACCTCGTGATCTACCCGCCTCGGCCTTCCAAATTGCTGGGGTTGCAGGCGTGAGCCACTGCGCCCGGCCGGTAGGTACTGTTATTATCCTCACTTTAAAGATTGAAGAATGGCCGGGCGCGGTGTCTCACGCCTATAATCCCAGCACTTTGGTAGGCCGAGGCGGGTGGATCACGAGGTCAGGAGATCGAGACCATCTTGGTCAACAAGGTGAAACCCCATCTCTACCAAAAATACAAAAATTAAATACAAAAATTAGCTGGGCATGGTGGCGCGTGCCTGTAGTCCCAGCTATTTGGGAGGCTGAGGTAGGAGATTTGCTTGAACCCAGGAGGCGGAGGTTGCAGTGAGCCGAGATCGTGCCATTGCACTCCAGTCTGGGTAACAACAGTGAAACTCCGTCTCGAAAGAAAGAAAAAAAAAAAAAAGATCGAAGAATTTAGCCAGGCATAGTGTTGGGCTTCTGTAATCTCAGCTCCTCAGGAGGCTGAGACAGGAGAATCACTTGAACCCGGGAGGCAGAGGTTGCGGTGAGCCAAGATCATTGCGCCCCTGCACTTCAGCCTGAGAAACAAGAGCAAAACTCCGTAAAAAAAACGAAAACAACCAACCAACCCAGAAACAAAAACAAAATTAAAAAAATAAAGATTGAAGAACTGAGATGCAGTATGTATTCTGGCTCCACTGTACTATGCTGTATGTCACCTAACAAATGGATGGAGGAATAACCTGGACTAATGACTTAAACGTTTTTCACCCAGATCCATCGCACGAATACATTTTACATTGGTACCCACTACACACACAAGCACAATTACCTGCACATACAAAACTGAAACACAAGCTTCATGAAAAAATGTCATAAGGTACACTGGTATGTTCTTTTCTCTATTTTATTTGTTTTTTTCTGTTCCGTATTTTAACAAATGCTGATCATAAACCACGAAAGTTATTTCATCACCCATTAGTGATTCTGACCCCTAATTGAAAGATTCATATGTATAAGTTTCATTTACCTCTGAAAAGCCATCCGAAAAATTTAAGCCTTAGGCCAGGTGCTGTGGCTCAGGCCTGTAATCCATCACTTTGGGAGGCCGAGGAGGGGCAGATCAGCTGAGGTCAAGAGTTTGAGACCAGCCTGGTCAACATGGTGAAAACCCCTCTCTACTAAAAATACAAAAATTAGTCGGGACTGGTAGTGCACGCCAGCTACTTGGGAGACTGAAGTAGGAGTATTGCTTGCACCCAGTAGGCAGAGGTTGCAGTGAGCCAAGATTGGGCTATGGCAGAGTGAGACTCTGTCTCAAAAAAAAAAAAAAAAAAAAGCTTAACCCTTGGGCAAAAGAAAGCTTAAGTCTTTTTTTTTTGAGACGGAGTTTCGCTCTTCTTACCCAGGCTGGAGTGCAATGACACAATCTTGGCTCACCGCAACCTCCGCCTCCTGAGTTCAGGCAATTTTTCTGCCTCAGCCTCCTGAGTAGCTGGGATTACAGGAACACGCCACCATGCCCAGCTAATTTCTTGTATTTTTAGTAGAGACGGGGTTTCACCATGTTGACCAGGATGCTCTCGATCTGTTGACCTCATGATCCACCCGCCTCGGCCTCCCAAAGTGCTGGGATTACAGGCTTGAGCCACCGCGCCCGGTGAAAGCTTAAGTCTTGAGCAGGAATGGCTGTCAACCACCCGTTGTCTTCAAAGTTGAAGACACTAGGGTAGCAAGAGGGCCTCTTAGCATTCACACCCAAGATGGTACAGATGGAAACCATTGTTCATTCATGACTCACTCTAGAGTCTGAGCACACAAGATTCACCTTTCCTCCAGCAACCCATCATGGTTTCTTTTAACCTTTAACCCACTTTTTGGAGCTAAAATCTGTTTTCTTACTTTTTTTCTTCTTTTTTTTGAGACAGAGTCTCTCTCTCTTGCCTAGGCTGGAGTGTAGTGGTGCAATCTTGGCTCACTGCAACCTTCACCTCCTGGGTTCAAGCAATTCTTGTGCCTCAGCCTCCTGAGTGGCTGGGATTACAGGCATGAGCCACCATGCCTGGCTAATTGTTGTATTTTTTTTTTTTTTTGAGACAGTCTCGCTCTGTTGCCAGGTGCCAGGCTGGAGTGCAGTGGTCCGATCTTGGCTCACTGCAACCTCCGCCTCCTGGGTTCAAGCAGTTCTCCTGCCTCAGCCTCCCAAATAGCTGGGACCACAGGGGTCATGCCACCACACCCAACTAATTTTTGTATTTTTTCAGTAGAGACTGGGTTTCACCATGTTGGCCAGGATGGTCTCAATCTCTTGACCTCGTGATCTGCCTGCCTTGGCATCCCAAAGTGCTGGGATTACAGGCGTGAGCCACTGTGCCCGACCTAATTTTTGTATTTTTAGTAGAGATGGGGTTTCACCATGTTGCCCAGGCTGGTCTCTAACTCCTGAGCTCAGGGTATCTGCCCACATCAGCCTCCCAGAATGCTAGCATTACAGGTGTGAACCACTGCACCTGGCCTTTTTTTTTTTCTTTTTCTTTTTTAAGATGGGTCTGGAGGCTATAGTGGCACAATCAAAATTCAGTACAGGGTTAACCTCCTGGCCTCAAGTGATCCTCCTGTCTCAGCCTTCTGAGTAGCTGGGACTACAGGTATGTACCACCATGCCTAGCTAATTTTAAAATTTCTTGTAGAGATGGTGTTGCCCTGTGTTGCTGAGGCTGTTCTTGAACTCCTAGGCTCAAGTGATCCTCCCAAGTCAGCCTCCCAAGTAGCTGGGATGACAAGTGTGCTCCACCAGTCCAGCTTCTCTGTCAGTTTTAACTTTGAATTTGTCAGTTTCAATGGGATATGTAAAATGATATACTCTAGATAGGAGTGTCTAATTTTCACTTCACTGTAGTCTCTTGGAAAACAGAAGGCAGACATTAGTGTATGGAATAGCAATGAGGTAGATGGAAGAGAACAGAAAAAAGTTCAGAGTGAAGGAAACAAAGTAGTTAATATTCAAGACAGAAACAAATTGATGTTGCTACTTCTGATTTTTCTAGCTTAAACATTTCACTGGCTGCATTCCCTGGCATAAAGAGATAAGCACATGTTTTGGAGTTACACAACCCTGGGTTCAAATTCTGGTTCTGTCACTTACTGGCTGACGAGCCTTGGACAAGGTATTTATTTTCTCTTGGGCTTTTATTTTTTCACCAGTAAAAAATATTTTTTGCATAGTGGGTACTCAACAAATGTTTGATTAATTTCTATTTTGGGCAGACAGGCAAGTCAGACTTCCTTTCCTATCCTGAAGGCACTCTTTCCTGGTAGGAAAATCTCCTACATTTCCCATTCTAGGCTGAAAATTCTTCTGTTTTGGTTAACCTTCTAAACTGTTCAGTAGTTGGTACAAGAAGCTGCAAGGAGGACCCCTCCCTCTTCGTAGAAAAGCAATACAAGGAAGTCTGCGAAAACAACCAGAGGTGTTAAATTACTCATGTTTATTTATTACAGACTTTCAGCCAGTACAGTACAAAACTTACAGTAGTATATCTCCGTTACACAAATATTTACTTACAATATATTACATATACAAAATGCTTTGCAATAAGTCTCAAAAGCTAGTTTAACTCCCCTTGAGAAAGGAGAAAAACTCTTTAAAAAAGAGGGGGAAGGGAAATCAGAAGAGAGGAGGAGGTGAAGGGGTAAAGGTCAAAAGAGACACCAAACATAGGCTACAAAGGAAACCCTAGGAGAGGGAGAAGAGAGGTGGTATTGCACTTGCTTCTGTGTTTATTTTTTCTTTTTGTTCTTCATAATTTCTGATTAAAAATATATATATGTATATATATATTATGTACAGAAGGAAAGAAGCTGCCAGAAGTATTACAAAATCCTATCTGCAGCTTGGACACTGACACAAAAAAACAAAGGTCTGGAAAAGTGTCTATTTAGAAAGTTTTTTGTTTGTGGTATTGATTTTGAATAGCAATATAAAAGGAAACACCTCTTTTCTCCATGTGGGTTTCAGTGTGTGGGTTTTTTTTTTTTCTTTTCTTTACCTTTTTTTTAATGCAAAAGGAGCTGGAAGAGAGCATGAGGATGTTTGAGGTTCCAGAGCTGGAAGGCTCTGAAAAGTAGGATTTTGTACCTAAGACCCTGGTTAAAGTGCAGTGATGGTCTGGAGAGAGACAGGATGCCCCCTCTCCCCTCCTTAGCACCTGGTCTTGCCCTTCCAGTCTCTGCTCTCATGGGCACAGAGTATAGCCTCAGAGCATAGTCCTTCATGTTCCGGGAGGTTACAGGTGCCACAGCTGACTGGGGAAGAGGATGGGGGAATCCTAAGGCTCTGATACCCCAGAAGGGACTAGTCCTTATGAAGTGTCACCAAATACACAGCAGACACAGAAGAGGTGGGACGGGTAGATCTAACAGGAAGGGGCTCAATAACCAGAATAGTTCAGGAAAAGCCCAGATACTAAGCTCTGCTGACATTCTGAAAAGGAGCTAGCACCCCTGGGTGCTGTTGAGGATTTTTCCTTTCTCTAGAGACCACTCTTCTCTGAGCTAACCTCCCCATTCTCTGCCCTTGGCAGCCTCTATTTATTGCTACATTGTCAAGGAGGAACAGTCACCCCACAATGCTTCTCCCTGCCAATCTGGTTCTCTTGGGGAAACCTCATAGTCGGGGAGAAAAAGGAGGACAAAGAGGAGAAAGATTTTTAGGGTCTCCCTTCCCATAAGAAGGTAAGGTAGACTCCTCTCAGAGCCCTTAGGAGCCCCAAACCCAGGGTCTGTTCCTTAGCCCACCCTTTACCATCCCCCCTAAAATATCCCTGATAGGGAGTGAGAAAAGTAGGAGGCAAAAGAGCCAATAGGAAAGGACATGTGGAAAGAAAGTTGAAAGGGGACGGAAGGAAAGAGAAAAGGAGAGAGAGGACCAAGAGTTACAACTTGTGAGGTGTTGTGTTTGGTTTTTACTTTTTTTTTTTTTTCTTTAAACATAGAAAAACAGCCTTTGGTTTGAATCTCAAGGAAGCAGAGAGTGGGATGGCTGTGGCCTCGGGCAGAAAACTCTTGTAGGAAGAGACCTCCATTTGCAGTGGGGTTGTATCTCCTTCTGCCCCTTCTCACTAATCCTAGGTTACTCAAATAGCCAGGGGTCTCTGCAGTAGCCAGGAGAAGTACCCCCTCTACCCTGTGTCTGGGAGCTGAGTGCAGAAGGGGACAGTAAAGGATGACCCCAGTTCAGTTGTACCCATCCCATTCTTGCTGGAACAAGGGTGGAATGGGGTGAAGGGCACATGCCCATGCTCATCCTGGGATAATTTTTGGTTATACTGAAAATTAGAAGAGAGAAAAGAGATACCCGTTTCTCCCTGCCACTGATCCTAAGAACAGGGTCCAGGAGCCCGGGAATGAGAAGGTGAATCCTGCTGGGAGGGAGCAGCAGAAGGCAGCATGACTGAGGGGCTGAGACAACCCCTTGTCATCAGGCAGCAACCCACTAGTTTCTCATACAATGGGGACTGAAGGGGCCCCTGAGAGCCTAGGAAGGTCACTAGTGAAGAAGTTTGAGGGGTGGAGGAGAAAGAGAAGAATTTTGACCCACCCCTTTCCCGTGTCCTGGTTCCTAATTAGGCACCTGTGGCTCCCAATGTGTCAGAGACAGAGGGTTGCAGACCTAGCCTTGGCCCCTGAGAATATAAAATTGGGGCACTCCAAGGAGAGAAAAGCCACCACTGAATAGACCCGTAGGTTGAAGGGACTAGAGCAGTGTGGAGAGGTTGTTCGAGGAGAGGGACCAGATCTATCACATCCTAGAGGGAGATCCTGAATATAGGCTTTGAGGAACTCATATTACTAGAGGAACATCAAGAGGACCCTCAGTCCCACAGTGCCTGGGGAGAATTTCTTCAGCCCCTCCTACTTCCAAATGAGGAAATAATTCTTCATTCATTCAAGAATAGTGCAAGCTGCCTAAAGTGAGAGGGCACAAGAGGTATGGAGTACCAGGTTGAAGAGTCCCAGAGAGGAGATATAATGCCACAGAGCTAAGGTAGGACCAGGGGGAGGTATCAGCATCAAAACTGAAGGATTAGATAATGTAAAAGGTGAAGACTTAAAGCAAGAAGCTTGAAATCTCTTAGTACTAAGAGGAGCTTCCTACCCCTGGGGCTGCTGGAAGATCTAAGAGAAAAATTGGCCTAAAGTAGAAAGGAGCTGTGGGCAGGAGGGTAGGGGAATGGCAAGTGACTGATATAAGTTAAAAAAAAAAAAAAAAAGGCAAAAAAAAATCAACAATTTAATAAATAACTCTGTATGCTGGGATAAGAGAAGAGAAAAAAGAAAAACATAAGCAAAAGACCTATTTCATCACAATGCTTAAATCGGTCAGGATAGAGGAGGAGAATAGGTGAGGAGGAGTCAGGATCAGGTGTGAGGTCAGGTAGCCAGTAGTGGGGGCTACAAAGGAAAACTCCTTGGGAAATGGTGGGGACAGGGATAGATGCCTACAGGCAGGGTAGTGGAGTGGTGGACTGAGGGAAGAGGAAGAGGTTGCTAGCCCACTTTATGCTCCCCACGGACAATGTGGGAAGAGAATTCGTACCGGTCCTGGCTGTGATAACCACAGATGTTGCACTCAAAAGGGTCTCTGAAGCCATGGCAGCCCATGTGGATAGTGAACATGACGTGGTCCAGGAAGAGGATACGGCAGTGCTCACACTTGAAGGCCTTCACAGGCTCACCACTCTCGCCCACCACCCGAAGCACTTCCTTGGAGGGGCCTGGGGTGCCCCGCAATAACCCCTCCTGTGGCTTGGGGTCCTCTTTGGCGTAGGCAGGACTGTGCCGGCCCACCACAATGGTGGGAGGTGGCTGGGGTGGGGGACCCTGAGGGAGGGATACCACCCCGGCAACCCGATCTTCGTGGTTGCTTTCTGTGTCTGTGGAGTCCTGGCAGCCATTGCTGGGGGATGCCCCAGGGTCGGTCAGGGGGCCTCGGGCCCGGTAGAGGAGGGGACCTCCATCAGCCAGGTCCTCAGGTCCCTCACCTGCTTCTCGGGATCCTGGAAGCTCCAGTCGACCAGGGAGGGGCTGCATCTGGGTGTAGACAGAGCTGATGACAGGCGTAAGTTCTGAGATGCAATTGGTGGGTGGAAGGCGGAGGGGACGCAGATGCTCTGCGCCCACAAAGGCCAGGGAACCTCCAAAGCCAGGCTCCAGGCTGTGGTGTGCCACCAACTCCACATCCTTTTCATAGCTACCCGAGTTCACATCATAGGGGAGGTCTGAGAGGCTGAAACGCATCTGCTTTTCGCCTGTGGAGAAGAGGAACTCAGCAGGGCTGGGTTTGAAGAATTCCTACACTCTCCTCAGGATTACTTCTTTGTTTTTTACCTGTGGGGCTGGATGTAACATTATTTACTACTTTACTTTCTCCAGGGTCTCTGTGGGACTGCTCCCTGACTCTAGGTTGTAACCTTAGAGAAGGACTCAATTCCAGCCCACTGATGTTTAATACTTCATTTTATTACGCTCCATAAAGCTCCAGGTCCTTAGAGAGCTAATGACTAGTGCTGGGGAGTGGGGGAACCACATACTCATTTCCTTTCTCTCACTCTCTAAGGGCCTACACAGACAGACTGAAGTTCTTGTTATTCTCAAAAATAGAGACAGCCTGATCCCTCAACCTCTGTCCCTTACAACCACCACAAGAGTCCAGTGCCAACCCCTCTCCACTCTCTTTGAGTACATTCTCCCTCTTTACTTCCCTCCTGTACTGAGGATAGATTTGAGTATCAGAGGCCACCAGACTGCTTTCTTTCCCTAAACCAAATCTCCAGACCATACAGCTCAGATGTATTTGAGCTGTGTCTTTAAGCCGGTATCTCTTTCCAACTGGATTCTTACCTACAAACTTCTGGGGTGTGGAACGCTTGCGTTTGGTGAGGCTGTTGGCCAGACGATCAATGAAAGTTGGCCGCTCAGAGGATGAGTGCAGCATGGAGTCTGGCACCATCTCCAGGTCACGTATCTCGTCACCTAGTGGGAAGGAGGTGGGGACAGGTAGTAGTAGTTGAGTAGGAGTAGCACTGGCCCAGCAATCTTTGCCTGGAGAAAACCAGCAGGTCAATAGCCAAGGAAGGTCATACCAGATGCCTGGGAAACTGGGCTCTGTTTACTTTACCCTACCTAAAGCTCACCCCAGCAACATTTCAGATCATTTGGGGACAATAATACACATCTGGCCCTTGTTTTTTTTTGAATGAAGTCTTGCTCTGTTGCCCATGCTGGAGTGCAGTGGCGTGATCTCAGCTCACCACAACCTCTACCTCCTGGGTTCAAGCAATTCTCCTGCCTCAGCCTCCTGAGTAGCTGGGACTATAGGTGCACGCCACCATGCCCAGCTAATGTTTGTATTTTTAGTACAGACAGGGTTTCACTTTGTTGGTCAGGCTGGTCTTGAACTCCTGACCTCATGATCTGCCTGCCTTGGCCTCCCAAAGTGCTGGGATTACAGGTATGAGCCACTGCGCCCAGCTTTGGCCCTTGGTTTTATACTTCTTGGGTTTTCTCTCTCCCAATTGACTAAGGATATAGACCCAAACTTCCTCTACCTCTCCATCTCCCTAAGGCACCCACCACAGACAAGGCTGTGCACCAACTGGGGTACCTGGAATGGGGTGCTTGGCAGATTTACAGGGTTATCCCCTGTTCCACAGACTTCATTCCTCGGTGGGGGAGATGCTGGAGTCACCCTTGTCCATCACTCCCTCTCACCACCCCCTTTCATTCGCCAGTACTATATCAATAGCCCTACCTGGTTGGCCAGCCAAAGCTTGGGCTTCAGTGCTGAGACTCTGTAGGTAGTTATGGCACCGCTCCTTGTGCTCCTCCAGGGTACTCTGCTGTTTGTAGCTCCGGCCACAGTAATTACACTTGTAGGGCTTGCCCACTGTGGGAGAGGAGACTGTGGAGGAAAGAAGAAAGATGACATCAGAGCTATGTCTTATTGTGCCCTGGCTCTGCACATTCAGCCAGGAGCAAGTATACACTGGTATGGGGAGGAAAGGATGTTGCTAAATTGAGTTATTCTGCTTGTTGTTCATTCCCCAACTTGAGCCGCAACCATGGACAGATAACCATATTTGGTGATGAGGGAAAATGTACAGTTATGGGAGCAAGGGAATCCCAGGGCATGTGGATTCAGACTGGTGGTGGGCTTGTTCAGGATGTTCAAATTGCTGCTCAAAGGAAGTGAAGACCCAGGGACCTTGTAGGGGATCATCCCTAGCAGGCAGGCAGGCAGGCCCCAATGCAGGATTTCAGAGTCTGGGGCCCAGACTGTGGTTTAACCTTTCCATTTGGCAAGCGGATGTAAGTGCTGTTTATCAGACAAGGGGACTTTTTGCTTACGAACTATCTGCTTTGGTTTGGGGGAAATTGGTGGGCTGGCATGACAGAAATGAGAGCCCTTAGATCTCCCCAATGTGGGGAGGGGGCAGTTTTCATTGACCTTTATTTGTATTTTGACCTCCAGCCCTAGCCTGGTTTACTGATTATTTTGCCTTTCTGTCTCTCTACACTGAGATACCAAGAGAGACCTAGAAAGCCCATCACTGATACAGTAATTCTGAAAAGAGGAAAAGAATAAAAGAACAGAGAAGAGTTAAAAAGAAGAGAACACCAAGTTAGTTTGTTTATGTGCTTGTAATAAAGAACAGGTCATAAAGATCTTATTTCTACTGAAGAAAAAAATTGGAAAACAGAGTGGTACTTCATTTAAAGATAACTTTTTTATTTTTTTTGAGAAGGAGTCTCACTCTGTCACCCAGGCTGGAGTACAGTGGCACAGTCTTGGCTCAATGCAACCTCCACCTCCCGGGCTCAAGCGATTCTCCTGCCTCAGCCTCCTGAGTAGCTGGGATTACAGGTGCCCGCCACCATGCCTGGCTAATTTTTGTATTTTTAGTAGAGACGGGGTTTCACCATCTTGGCCAGGCTGGTCTTGAACTCCTGTCCTCGTGATCTTTCCGCCTCAGCCTCCTAAAGTGCTGGGATTACAGGTGTGAGCCACCACACCCAGCCTAAAGATAACTCATAAGAGATATTTGTGAGAGAAGAGAAAAAAGTGAAGAGAAACAAGATATACATATATTTTATGCAGGGAGACAGGAGAAGTTATCTCTAGGAAGCTGGTATTTACTAGTCACCCCTAATTCTGCCATGCCAAAGCTAGGCCTTGATTCTATCAATCTACTGCATTTTGCTCAGGCTCTGTAAACCCTTGTATTTTAGGGATGAGATGAACACCATGGTCCCTATCCACCCAAAGACCCTTGGGGAAATGGTTTAACATCTGGAAGAGGAATGATCCTCCAGCCTCTCTTTCTTTTTCAAATTTTAATTGACACATAATAATTATACAAGTTTATGAGGTACAGATGATATTTTTATACATGTATATGATGTATAATCATCAAATTGGGGTAATTGCCATATCTTTCACCTCAAACATTTATCTTTTTTCTTTTTTGAGATGGAGTCTCGCTCTGTCACCCAGGCTGGAGTGCAGTGGCGTGATCTCGGCTCACTGCAATCTCCAACTCCTGGGTTCAAAAGATTCTCCTGCCTCAGCCTCCTGAGTAGCTGGGATTACAGGCATTTGCCACCATGCCTGGATAATTTTTTGTTATTTTTAGTAGAGATGGGGTTTCACCATGTTGACCAGGATGGTCTCGATCTCCTGACCTCATGATCCGCCCACCTTGGCCTCCCAAAGTGCTGGGATTACAGGCGTGAGCCACCATGCCCAGCAAACATTTATCATTTCTTTGTGTTTGGAACATTCAAAATCATCACTTCTAGCTACTTTGAAATATACAATAAATGATTGTTAACTACAATCACTCTACTATGCTGTGTAACACTACTACTTATTCCTCTTGTTTAACTGTAAGCTTATACCCATTTACCAACCTCTCCCTATCCACCTACTCCCAACCCTTCTCACCCTCTGGTAACCACTGTTCTACTCTCTACTTCTTTTTTTTTCCCCCAAGATGGAGTTTCACTCTGTCACTCAGGCTAGAGTGCAGTGACGTGATCACAGGTCCCTGCAATCTCCACCTACCAGATTCAAGTTATCCTCCCTGTCTCAGCCTCTCGAGTAGCTGGGACTACAGGTGTGTGTCACCACACCTGGCTAACTTTTTTTTTTTTTTTTTTTGTATAGAGATGAAGTCTCACTACATTGCCCTGGCTGGTCTCAAACTCCTGGGCTCAAGTGATCTACTGGCCTTGGCTTCTCAAAGTGCTGGGATTATAGGTGTGAGCCACCGTGCCCAGCCTACTCCATACTTCTATGAGATCAACTTTTTTAGCTCCCACATGAGTGAGAACATATATCTAGTCTCTTTTTTCTTATTATATGGGTTACAACAGAAAGCACCTCACAGAGATGGAATGCAACAGTAGATCTGTGTCTGCTTCTGGTTTTTTTTTGAGACGGAGTCCCGCTCTGTTGCCCAGGCTGAAGTGCAGTGGTTCGGTCTCAGCTCACTGCAACCTCCACCTCCTGGGTTCAAGCGATTCTCCTGCCTCAGCCTCCCAAGTAGCTGGGATTACATGCACCCGCCACCACGCCTGGCTAATTTTTTGTATTTTTAGTAGAGATGGGCTTTCACCATGTTGGCCAGGCTAGTCTTGAACTCCTGACCTCATGATCTGCCCACCTCAGCCTCCCAAAGTGCTGGGATTACAGGCATGAGCCACTGACCCTGGCTCTGCTTCTGTTGTTAAGAGTCTACAGAACAACATCCAAAATCTACCCAGTTGACCTCACTGTGTAGTTGGTAGGAATTCTAGGGGCCAAGCTATCCTTTTTCCAAACCAGCAGGGGGAGCAGGCCCTTTTCTGAGGAAAAGGAGTACATATTTCTGGCACGGGACCTTGATGGGGTTCCAGATAGGCTGCAGAATAGCTATGTGACTCCAAGTCATTATTCCCCCCAACAGCTTTATTTTCCTTGTCAACAAAATAGGGATAATCACATCTACCTTGGAACTGTTAGGAGGATCACATGAAGAAACACAAGTGAAATGCTCTGTAGATATAAAGCATGAATCAATGATGATCTTTTTCCCTGTTTTCTCCACATACATAGAGATAAAGAGGTCCCAGTTACAAGGTGGGAGAACCTGGAACAAGGTAAGTGGATGGAGAAAGTAAAGGGTGGTGAAATTATTCCTTTGTCCCTTTAAATCCTGGCTCAGGAGAGTTTAAGAAAAGAGAAAAATAGCCAGGAAAGTTTCCAAGGACAGACCCTACTAATTCTTTCCCCTTTTCCTTTTTTCCTGCCTTTTCCCAATCTTGAGCTTCCTCCTTCCTGCCAGCTCAGCTCCTGGCCTCTTCCCAAGTCCAAGTCAAAAGCCTAAAGCTTAGTAAAACACCTAAAAAGTGCTATCTGTCCAGCTGATTCAGACAGATACTGACTCAAACAGTCCTTACTGGGCTAGAAAACCTTGTTAATCCAGTTTCCCAGCACTCTTCAAAACATTGATCTCTAGGCACCCTCTAGACTTAATCTTGCATCTGGGAAGGTGACAACCTCTTGGGATAGAGAACAGAAATAGGATACTCTTTTCCTATTTGGACGTCCTAGGCTCCCTTTTTTCCAGTTTGAGAGGCCCATGGATATTTTCAGGAGCCATCAGGAAGTAAAGAAGAGGACAGACTGGTTGCCTAAGACCTCTAGTGGTGTAGAGTGAAGGAGGGTAAAGATGATGACAGGTGTGAGGCCTGGGGCAAACGGGAATGAGAGTAGGGATCTCCCAGGAGCTTAGATGTTGGGGGTGGGCCGGCGCGGTGGCTCAAACCTGTAATCCCAGCACTTTGGGAGGCTGAAGCGGGTGGATCACGAGGTCAAGGGATCGAGACCATCCTGGTCAACATGGTGAAAACCTGTCTCTACTAACAACACAAAAAATTAGCTGGGCATGGTGGCGCGTGCCTGTAATCCCAGCCAATCAAGAGGCTGAGGCAGGAGAATTGCCTGAACCCAGGAGGCGGAGGTGGCGGTGAGCCGAGATCGCACCATTGCACTCCAGCCTGGGTAACAAGAGCGAAACTCTGTCTCAAAAAAAAAAAAAAAAAAAGATGTTGGGGGTAATAGGGCATGGATTGCAGCATCAACAATCTAAAACAAGTTAGAAAAGGCCAGGCGCAGTGGCTCATGCCTGTAATCCCAACACTTTGGGAGGCTGAGGTGGGCCAATCTCTTGAGATCAAGACTTCAAGATAAGCCTGGGCAGCATAGGGAGACCCTGTCTCTAAAAAAGAATACAAAAATTAGCTGGGTGTAGTGGCGAGTGTGGTCCCAGCTACTTAGGAAGCTGAGGTAGGAAGATGGCTTGAGCTCAGGAGATCAAGGTTGCAGTGAGCCAAGACTGCCCCACTATACTCCAGCCTGGGCAACAGCGCAAGATCCTGTCTTGAAAAAGCAAACAAACAAAAGTCAGGGAAGGCTGACTGTTAACAGCCAAGAGTCTTGCCCATATGGCCAGGTGAGGTGGCTCACGTTTGTAATCCCAGCACTTTGGGAGGCCGAGGTGGGTGGATTGCTTGAGGGTAGGAGTTCAAGACCAGCCTGGCCAACATGGTGAAACCCCATCTCTTAAAAATAAATAAATTAATTAATTAAAAAAGCAAAAGAATATTGCCCATATTTATTTTGTTCCAAGTCACAGACTATGGTAGATATAAACCATCAAGGTGTCTCCCAAATTCCCGATGGGGCTTTGCTGCCTAGAGGATGGATGAGAGAGACAGGGGGCCCTATCTGCTCTGTAAATGCTCTCCCCTCCTCAATGACAGATACTGTAACTCGCCAAATATAAGATAAATCACTGAGCTCTACATATTGGGTGTGCTGGAGCCTCACTCCCTCCTCCCACTGGACAGTCACTGACCTGAGTGTGTGCGGAGGTGGCCAGTGAGTGCATCACGCCGGCGGCAGGCATAGTTGCAGAAGGGACATTTAAAGGGCTTCTCCCCAGAGTGCAGCTTGATGTGGCGCAGCAGGTTCCCCTTCTGGGTGAAGGAGGCACCACACTGGTTGCAGTGGAAGGGCCTTTCACCTGCAAGTGAAAGAACAAACCCAGAGGACTGCATGTGAAGAACTTTGAAGGATGAACCTATCCCCCCACCCTCTACCCTACCTTGCCCAAAGAGAGGTGCTCTGAACACATTGCTGATGGGCAGAAGTCCCATGCACACAAATCCTGCTTTATTAAGATCCCTTGGGAATAGTCTTACCTTGGGGAAGGTGTGGATGAGAGGTGTGTGGCAGGGAGAGGGGCCTGGAACACGAGGCCAAAAGACTGTTACCAAAAACTAAGCCCCACAGGCTACACTCTGCCCTAGGAGCCCAAAGCCTGAGGAATCTGAGAAGAGGAGGTTTTCTGGGTTTTTTAATTGAATTTTTTTTGAAATGGAGTCTTGCTCTGTTGCCCAGGCTGGAGTGCAGTGGCGCAATCCTGGCTCACCGCAACTTCTGCCTCCCAGGTTCAAGCGATTCTCCTGCCTCAGCCTCCTGAGTAGCTGGCTTTACAGGCGCACACCACCATGCCCGCTAATTTTTGTATTTTTAGTAGAGACATGTTTCATCATGTTGGTCAGGCTGGTCTTGAACTCCTGACCTCGGAATCTGCCAGCCTTGGCCTCCCAAAGTGCTGGGATTGCAGGTGTGAGCCACCGTGCCTGGCCAATTTTTTTTTTTTTAATTATGAGATGGGAGGGCCCAAAGAATACCCAGGAGGCTTACCCCTATCGGACCACTGGTTCATCCTTGAGGCTACCACACCTTTCCCTCCCTCGTATATTGAGAAACATATCAGCATTTTTTTTTTCCTAACAGCAGTTGAGAAAAGTGCCAGGAGACTACAGGTATTAAGGGGAATTCAAATTACACAGCCCCCGCAAGCCTGCCTCATTTTGTCAGCTAAAAAATGTGCTGGGAGAGACCCTTCCCTTTCTGAGGACATCCACCCCTTGCAGGGCCTCCTCCAGCCCCATCCCTGCTATTGTCCTAGCACTGCCCATGCCTTTCAACCCCACCCTGGGAGCTCCTCCCAGAGCCCCTCTGGCTTACTCACCAGTGTGGCTGCGCTTGTGCACCATGAGTACGTTGGGTCCAATGCAGACCATGCCGCAGACGTCACACTTGAGTTTGCCATTGGGCAGCCGGATGCCCCCAGGAGAGTGAGGCTCTGGCCCACTCCCATCACAGTAGCCCAAGGGCTCAGACAATGAGTCTTCCACAATCACACTGTCATCCTTTTCCAGGAGCCGCTCATCTGGCCCCAGCAGTCTGCTCGACTCCTCATCGCTGTACATCTCCACCTTGATGGAGTTGGCTGAGGGGTGGGATGGTGTTTAGAAGAGAAAGAGAGGCAAAGGGGAAGCTGCTCCCAGGCCAGAATGGGACTCTTTTTTTTTTTTTTTTTTTTTGAGACAGAGTTTCACTCTTGTTGCCCAGGCTAGAGTGCAGTGGTGCAATCTTGGTTCATTGCAACCTCCACTTCCTGGGTTCAATAGATTCTCCTGCCTCAGCCTCCCGAGTAGCTGGGATCACAGGCATGCACCACCACGCCTGGCTAATTTTTGTAGTTTTAGTAGAGATGGTTTCTCCATGTTCGTCAGGCTGGTCTCCAACTCCCGACCTCAGGTAATCCACCTGCCTCAGCCTCTCCAAGTGCTGGGATTACAGGCATGACCCACCACGCCCAACCCAGAATGGCACTGGCACTCTTAAAATTTAAGAGAGTTTCTTTAGACCCTGAGACATTCAAGCCTTAAATGGGGCCGATACTCTAATATCCCTGCTGGTGATACCAGAGTCCTTCTGGAACCTGAGACAAAATTTTATCCCACCCACCAGGCAAATAGGTGTCAAGAGAAAAAAGTTGGGCTGGGTGCAGTGGTTCACACCTATAATTCCAGCACTTTGGGAGGCAGAGGTGGGTGGATTTTTTGGAGTTCAGGAGTTTGAGACCAGCCTGGCCAACATGGTGAAACCCCATATTTACTAAAATTACAAGAATTAGTTGGGCCTGGTGGTGCATGCCTATAATCCCAGCTACTTCGGAGGCTGAGGCAGGAGAATCACTTGAACCTGGGAGGCAGAGGTTGCAGTGAGCTGAGATTGTGCCACTGCACTCCAGACTGTGCAACAGAGCAAGACTCCATCTCAAGAAAAAAAAAAAAAGAGAAAAAAGTTAAGGGTACATAGGATGTCCTCTGTCACTGAGGAGAGGAGAGGACTAAGAGGAGCCTTTTTCTCCACTCTCTTGTCATTAAGAAAGATGTCTGGCTTTGGCCTTGGGCAGGAAGCCAGCAAGTTAACAGTGGCGGGAAAACAGACCTAGGAGGACTGAGGGAGACAACAGGCCAAAGAGAGCCAAACTGGAAGACAGACATGCTTATAGTTCCCTCCCACACCATTAGACTGAACCCCTCTACCCACTTCATCTCCATAAAATGCTGAGGCAGGGCAGGAGGGATAAAGGAAGGAGGAAACAGTGAGGAGAAGGCTTTGGCTCTAGCTCCGACCTACATTCCTGGCTATTCCAACCATTTAGAGAATGTCACAGATCTAGGGCCAGCTGGGGAGGGGCAGTCATGGGGACCCTGTCTGGGTAGGCGAATGGGGTCTGAGGAGATGGAAAGGTCCTTCTACCCTCTATTTCCTATTTAACTCCACTTGATGACTGTTTCTATCTACCTGCTTCTCTAATTACGGAATTTCTCTTTCAAACCTTTATCTCAATCCCACCCATATTTCTTTTAATTCTACCCTAGTCTGCCGGTGACTATTCACTCTCCTTTCAGAAGCCAGAAAAACCCTAGACACTGGGCTCCTTATTGCTCTTAGAGACTGAGCAGGAGACTAGCTGGAGGAGATGATGGGGAAATGGTTGCCAGTAGAAGATACATTGAAGGCCAAATGCAAATGGGGGTGCCTACTGCCAGGAGGTGGTAGGAGGTTACACTTACCACTGAGTGAGCGGCTGGGAGAAGAGTGCTGGCTGTTGGGGGTGCTCACCGAGGGCCCCACTGGGGCCCCAAGGAACTCCTTCTCCAGAGATGAGTCCCCGCTACCTTGGAGGAGAGAACAAGAGGGCAGGTAAAGCTGAAGCTGGATTTATCTACTGTTCAGTGCCTAATCTTTAAAAAAAATTAAGTTAAATTTCACAAACATTTCCTTCATAGCCATGTACAAGGCAGTATTGTATGCTGGGCACCATACCTTGCGCCTGCGCCCCCGCCAGTCTGGATGCCTGGTGCTGCCTTCCGTGAGCTCAGTGGCTGGGCCTTGCCTACCCTACCTTTATCTAGGCCTGAGGGGAAGAGCATCACTGCCTGACGTCCACAGGAAGCAGGGCTGGGGTTGGGTGCGCCAGGGCGGAGAGGAAAATGGGGGCCACAGAAGGGACAGATGTTCAGGACAGACATTTTTCCCTACTGTTCCTCTCCGGGACCCCAACCAGGTTCAGGATCTGCAGGAAAGGTAACTGGAATTGTCCCTGAATCTAATGATAATATTAGTAATAATAACAGCAGTTAATATTGAGTGCTGGTTTTATTCTATGCATTTGAAATAATCTCATTTAATCTTCACAACTATATGAAGTAGGTGCTATTAATATCTTCATTTTTTCAGATGAGGCAACTGAGGTACAAAAAAGGTTATGGGTTATGTTCCTTGTCTAAGGTTACATAGCTGCTATTGTGGAACTGGGATCACAGAAAATAAGTGTCCATGTCCTATGGAGCCAATTGGGGGTCACCATCTTAGTAGGGAAGAATTGGGCCCCTTAGACTTTCTAAATTCAGCAAAAATTTGACTGCTCTAGAAAGCCTCCTACTGATCTGATTCCAATCACATGTTTACTATTTTATATTCCTTGACAGTTAAGTGATCAATTTATTCTCAGTATATTTGTTTTAATTTTTTGATAAATTGCTTTGTAAAAATGCTTTTTGAGGGTTTCATGACGTTTTTCAAAATCAGATAACACACCTAAAGAAAGATATGAATGCCTTTTTAAAAAAAATCCCTCCTCCCCACAATCTTCTGCACAAATATATAGGTGAAATAAAAATACATGTAGATAAACACACACACAGACACAGCACATATGTAGATACATATAAAGAGAACATACCTACTGGGATAAACATACTGGTAGCCTTCTACATTATCTGCTAACATGAACATGCATGGATGTGTGCACACAGGCCTAAATATGGAAGAGAGAGAGAGAGCAAGAGAGACAGCAAGAGAGCAGGAGAGAAAGCCTAAAATTCATCCCTGAAGTCCACCTATTAGTACTTTACCCAATTGCGCAGCTATGCACATACTTACTTTCACAAAATAAAGATTCCATTATAAAATGGTTGGAGTCTTGGGCCTGAGGCAAGAAATCCGGAACACACCCTCCTGAGGGATCCCTCTCCAGCTTTGGTCAGTGGGAAGAAAACAACCACTCAGGACTTTGGGACCATTTCCCATTCATATCCTCTCCTAAAGTCCCATTTCCCCCATTGTATCCCATCAAAGCCTGAGGAAATTTGTTCACTATCTATAGAAAAAGCCTTATGGCTTGAATCTGAGTTTTCCCAGCTGGGGCTCTTTAGGTGAACCACGGTTACCTGAAAATGTTGACCGAAATCAGAACCACACACATATCATGAAGTGAGTATTTCAGGATTGTGGGTTAAGACTTGTAGACTCAGAGCCAGTTTTAAATATGTCCTTTCAACTAAGTGTAGAATTTACTAGGGTTAGAAGGGCTGAAAAGGGTATCTTCTTATTCCCTTTCAAATGTTAGTGCTGACTTGCCCTAAATCACTTGATGTTACTAATCAGGGAAAAAAGGACACTGGGCTTTGAGGCTAAAAGCCTCATCCTAAAAGGATGAGTGAGCTTGTTGGAAATCCATCGCTGGTCCCAGCTTATTTGGCTGAGGCTACCTCTTGAGGCCAGGAATTTGCTATATGGAGGAAAATATATTTTAAAGTACACTTAGAAACACTGAGGGGAAAGCATCCTTTGTGGCTTTCCCAATTAAGGCCCAGAAACAGGAAGAGGAGCAGGAGTCATACCAGTAATTCAAGAGGCTCTTTGATGCTATTGCCCTCCCTAAGATTAAGGTAAGAGGAAAAACAGGCTCAAGTCTACTTTCATGGGGCTAATATATAATAATGAATCTGTTTCAGGAATCAGAAAGTCTTTCTTGGACACCAAGGAGTTTGAATTCTAGCTCAGGGGTGAAAGGTACTAGAGTAAGATTTAGGAAGTTTAACAGTTCCTCTGTCAGCTCCAGAAACCCCAGAGAGGGAATTTCAAAGTCTGGGACTCCCAAGAAATCCCAGACTGTCAAAGCCAAGAATTAAGGCTGTTCTTAGGTCTCTGAGAAATTTTCTTGCTCAAAGTCATCAGAGATTGGCTGAACCCTGAGAGGGCAAAGCCAAATCATGAGGTTCACATCAGAGGAACTGGGAGGTAGGTAAAGGCTGAAAAGCAGGAGGAGAGAAAGGAACTGGGAAACAGGCCACAAGCTAAAGGTGTTTCACATGTTAAAGGAGACTAGCCCTCCACTCCTGCTGCCTTTCCTTGAGACCTTCAAATAGTGGCTACCTCTAGGGAATAGCCATGAGCTTGGAGAACCTCCACACTGCCCTGCAAGGGACCTCATCATAACTGCTTTCCCTTTCTTGACCATGGGCTCCAGGGTGGCAGGATCCTAGCCTGCCAGCAGGGAATAGTGGGTACAAGAGCAAAGAAAGACGCCCATCCTCAGCTCTTTTGTGGGGAGGAGGCTGAGGCCCCTCAGATCTCTGTTCCAGGCTGAGGCATCTGCTTGCCAAGGCTCCTCTTCCTTACCTTGATTTTCTCCACTACCCCTTCCCACCCAGGCCTGTCTCGGCATTTCACCCCAGGCAGCTCTACCTCTATCCCCAAGGCCTAATAAAGATGTCACCACAGGCTCCCACTGTCCAAGTCGCTGTCTTTGCTTAGCAACACCAAACACCCTTTCCCATCCTCCGCAAGTATAAGGAGGAACGCCCCCTCCCCCGCTACACACACACACACACACACACACAGCCCCCATCCTCTCCATCTCCTCAGGCTTGGGAGTTGTTACTGAATTGGCTCCCTAGCCCCAGCACCCCCCTTCCTCCCTCCACTAGCCGCCTTCTGCCTGAACTTACATTATCCTTCCCTTGCCGGTGAGACCCTGGGGTGCGAACGCGGCCGCCGCCTTGGAAACGGCGAGGGAGTGCGGGTGGTGTATGCATGTCTGCGTCTCAGTGGCAGGCAGGGGTGAGCCCAGCCACTCACCTTCCAGGAAGCGTGGATTCCTGGAAGTGAGGGGAACCGCCGTCATTTCGCAGGCAGCAGCAGCAGCAGCACGGTGAGCAGAGGCCCACGGCTGCAGCCAGCAAGAGCAGCTCAGCCCGGGGTGTATGTGTGTTGAGTGTGTGTGTGTGTGTGTGTGTGTGTGTGTATGTGTGTGAGAGAGAAAGAGAGGGAGAGAGGCACAGAGAGAGGGAGAGGGAGAGGGGAGAGCACGCTTGGATGTGCTTGGGGAGGGGGCTGGAGAGAATGTATATGTGTGTATGGTGGGGGAGATGCTAGGCTACAGCATCCCTTTTCCAAGACATTGAAGGGGATAAGGGGTGGGTGTGTGCACAGGGAGGGAAAGGCATATGCCGTTGCCCTCGTGCCCAGCAGACAAAGAGGAACTGCACAACAAATGCCTGAGAGAGGCAAGAGTGTGTATAAGAGAGAGAGAGAGAGAGAGAGAGAGAGATGGATGGGCCTGCGGGTGGGAGGGAGAAAAGGGGGGCCCCAGGGAAGGCCCAATCCTGTGCCAGCTGGGGAAGCCAAGGCCCCAGAGGTCATGGGGCCCAGGACACGGACAGCTTCAAGGCTCTCAGATTGGGCAGAAAGCCCCTCCCCCACCAAACTCTTTCCCTCCTCCTCCAGGAGGAAGGTTGCTCTCTAGATCTGGGGACTGACAGCCCCCTCCTTTCCAGCATCGAGAGAGCCCAGCACAGTCTGGTGTCAGGCTAGTGTTGCTCTAGGGCCCTGAGACCTTTCAGATCCAATGCAAAAAGGCTCCCCACCTCCCCTCCCTCCTGTGCCCCTGGGGCCCCAGCAGCCGAAAGCCCTGGATGAATCCACCCTCTATCAGGATAAGGCCTCTGCTCCCTTCCCTTTCAGAGGAGCTGCTCACTGACAAACTGACCTACTTTGGAAGACTACATTTTCTGATTCCAAGAATTTGAGGGTGGGCGGGGCTGTGAAACTTTGGGCTGCCTACCCCTGAATCCCTTTCTACTAAAGTTCTCTTAAGCATTTCATAGTCTCAGAAAACTCACTGCTCAGTCGATTAACGGCATGAGCCAGGTTTGAGCAACTCTATTTTGCTTGAAAGATAGGGAAATGGAGGAGTGGTTATCTGTGCCATAAAATAGACTCCTGCTTATCTCCCCCTTTTCCCTGCTCCAGAAGGGAATAATCTGTACCTTTAAAAAGAGAAAAAGGGAGAAAAGATGGATTTTCTGAATCAGATTCTGGAGGAATTCGAATCTCTTGGAAGAGCAAGAGAGATACCCTTTTCATCAAGTGGCCAGATGCAGGAAGGTCACCTGGCGTGGAGCAGAAGAGCTGTGATGGCCTGTGGAGGCCCGCAGTGTGCTTCAGGAGAGCTACGTGCTGCAGCCTTTCCCTCTGCTTCCATATGACCCTTCCAGGAGAGAGGGGTCAGTGATGAGGGCAGCTATGCCCAGTCCTAAGAGGGGTACTTTTCAGAGCTAATGGTAGCCCTACCTTGACTTTCCCTTTTCCCTAAGGTAGCTGCTGACATCTAGAATTCTCAGAGTACAGATGAGGAGTTCCTGGCCTCCACTTCCATTCAAAAACCATCCTGTGCAGAGGCCACTTCTTATCTAGGAAATGCCAATCTGCTGAAAGCAGGGAAAGCTTGGTTTCATAGCACAGTGAAGCAAATCACCTCAGAAGTTTTCCATGAGCATCCAATATTCTCCATGAACAGGTCTGAAAAGAGCTCCACGGGATTTGTAGTTTCTTATTTGCCTGCTTTATGGCAGGGACTGGATTTTATCCATCTGAGTGTTCCCCAGCACTAAACAGGGTCCCAAGTGTGCTTGTTGCTCAGTAGTGGTTTTCTGAATAGGCTTAACTAAGGAGGAGGTAGGAGGACTGGCTCGTTCCTCACAAGGGCCATGACTTTTGTTCTAATAAAGTCTCTTCTAATTAAATGAGTCTACCTGATCCCTGTCATTCTGTCAAGCATGTAGCAGGTATTGAATGCCTTTACCCATTCCAACTCCTTCCCTCCTTAAACAAGAAAGGGGTCAGAGTCAACATCTTACCTTACATTACCCGGGTGTTGCCAATGACTCTCATATGTGTTTCTGACCCATCTTGCTATCTCCTTTAGTGCATGCCAATAATTCCTTCATTGGTCCTACTTTAGAGTAAAAAATAAGCTATAGGTCATTTCCACAATGGTGCTTGGGTTTCTGATAGGGATACTCATCACATCAAAACTGAATTTTGGTTTCTTTTTTTTTTTTTTTTGAGATGGAGTCTTGCTCCATCACCCAGGCTGGAGTGCAGTGGTGCAATTTTGGCTCGCTGAAACCTTTACCTCCCAGGTTCAAGTGATTCCCCTGCCTCAGCCTCCTGAGTAGCTGGGACTACAGACCTGTGCCACCATGCCTGGCTAATTTTTTATATTTTAGTAGAGATGGGGTTTTACCATGTTAGCCAGATGGTCTTGATCTCCTGACCTCGTGATCTGCCCGCCTTGGCCTCCTGAAGTGCTGGGATTACAGGTGTGAGCCACCGCGGCCCAGCCTTTTTTTTTTTTTTAAAGACAGAGTCTGGCTCTGTCGCCTAGGCTGGAGTGCAGTGGCGTGATGTCTGCTTAACATCCTAAGTAGCTGGGATTACAGGCACACCCCGCCATGCCCAGCTAATTTTTCTATTTTTAGTAGAGATGGGGTTTTACCATGTTGCCCAGGCTGGTCTTGAACTCCTGACCTCAGGTGATCTGCCTGTCTCCTAAAGTGCTGGGATTATAGGTGTGAGCCACTGCGCCCAACCTTGAGTCATTATTTTAAAATGGAGACATTTCATATAAAATTGGATTTCTTTCCGGGTGCGGTGGCTTATACCCGTAATCCCAGCACTTTGGGAGGCTGAGTCAGGTGGATCACGAGGTCAGGAGTTCGAGACCAGACTGGCCAAGATGGTGAAACGCCATCTCTACTAAAAATAGAAAAATTAGCTGGGCATGGTAATGGGTGCCTGTAATCCCAGCTACTCAGGAGGCTGAGGTGGGAGATTGCTAGAACCCGGTAGGTGGAGGTTGCAGTGAGCCAAGATCATGCCATTGCACTCTAGCCTGGGCAACAGAGCAAGATTCTGTCTCAAAAAAAAAAAAAAAAAATTTGTACAAGTGCCTCATGAATATCTTCTCCCCTCAAAAAAAAAAAAATTTAGAAATTTTGGCCACACTAGATACACATTCCTGCATGACAAGGACTAGTGAAACTGAAAGCTGCTGTCCCTTTAAGTGGGACATGTGTTCTCCACTTCATGACAGCCCCCACCATTCTTTTCTGCTTATTATCTTAACCTTACTTCACTCATTCACATGCCCACCTGGCCCTTGCATGTCTTTGAGGTCTAAAACCTTGTGCCACTCTATATCCGGATAGAACAGAATTTCATGTTTGGCTGGTGACTTCAGAGAATAGGAGAAGGAACCATATTTTCTTTCCATCATTTGCTTCAAATCATTCTTCTAATGATGTCCACTCGTATTGCCCTCCTATTCCCTTCCTTTATCCCCCAAGAAGTCTGGAAAAGAGAATTACTATTTAGGGAATGTAAAATCACCAAAATAATTGCACACTATCAAGTGCCACCAAGCATGAGTGTTAGCTGTGTGACTAGGACATTTAGAGGCCATGTGCCTCGGCTGAAGGCTCTCTGCTCTACCGGAGAGGGTCTGCTTTCAGCCCCTAACAAAAAGAACACACAGAAGGCATACCAGACATATAGGAGCGGCCATTGCAGTCTTCTATGTCCATTTTAAAGAGATTCTGCTGAAAGAGAAAATAGCTGCTATTAGAAGATAGATCTGGGAAGGGAGGAGGCTTTTCTTTAACTTCTTGAGTTAGCCAGAAACCTAAAGGAGTACTTAAGCATGGTCTGATACTGTCTTAAAGAAAAAAAACTTAGCCAGGCACTGTGGCTCAATGCCTGTAATCCTAGTGCTTTGGGAAGAAGGTGGGAGAATCACTTGAGCCCAGGACTTTGAGACCAGTCTAGGCAATATAGGGAGATCCCATCTCTACAAAATATAAAAATAAATTAGCCAGGCATGGTAGCATGTGCCTGTAGTCCCAGCTATTCAGGAGGCTAAGGTGGGAGGATCACTTGAGCCCAGGTCGAGGCTGCAGTGAGCTGTGATCTCACCACTGCACTCCAAAAAAAAAAAAAAAAAAAAAGGAAGAAAAAGCTTACACTTTGTCCTGGTGAAAGACAACATACCCTGATTTATAAACCCCAATATTTACTCCAATTTACAACTTCTGCTGGGCTCCCCAGCCTCTGAGGTGGAAACACTATCTTAATCCAGCGTAGTCCTGGATTTTGAGATTAGACAGTGTATGTAGATGGAGTTAAGGTGGTAGGTGACAGGTTATTCCTCAGTCCTGAGAAGGCAAAACAGCCCTTTAGAGGCTCTATACCTTAGTTAAAAGATGGGGTAGTAATAAGAAGAAACTGGATTCCGTCATTCAAGGCATTCTGTCTTGGATGTGTGGTGTGAGGGAGGGTGACAGGAAAAGTAGAAGATGGAGGAGAGCAGCCCACTCAGGGTTCAGTGATAAGTCCTCTACTGAAGGGGTAATAAACAAATCAAAGCTGTAAGTGGTTATCCCCACCCTTTCATCAATTACTCTGCAATGCTTATTTTAAAAAAGGAAGTGGGGAGAGTCTGAATTTAAAATGAAAGTTAGTCTATTTGAGGGAAGGCAAGCAGTAACTGGCAGTAGAGAACAATCAGGAACTGAGAACACTTAAAAGTGATAATTTGTTGCAATGAATTATCTCTTTAGAAACCTGTGAGAGGAGAGGAAAAAAAAATCAGATCTGGTAGAAATGTACATACACGTATAATTGGGGCCAGTATGGTGGCTAATGCCTGTAATCCCAGCACTTTGGGAGGCTGAGGAGGGTGAATCATTTGAAATCAGGAGTTTAAGACTAGGCTGCCCAACAGGGTGAAACTCCATCTCCACTAAAATACAAAAATTAGTTGGGCAGTAGTGGCACGTGCCTGTAATCCCAGGTACTTGAGAGGCTGAGGCAGGAGAATCGCTTGAGCCTGGGAGGTTTTACCATGAGCCCAGATCTTGTCACTGCACTCCAGTCTAGGTGAAGAGTGAGACCTGCCCCCCTCCCAACTAAAAAAAATTGCTTTCCCCACTCATTTGATGAAAACTAAATGGCCTGAGGTAGAAGCAAGAATCAGGTAAGGGAACTGTCTGAGCTTCCTTGGGGATTCTAGGTCTTTTTGAAGGATCTCACTGAGGCAGATGGATAAAAATTTGGTTTCCTTGTAATGCTATATTGAGAGAAGTGGGGGTAGGGGTGAGGGGGTGCAGGAAAACACACAGAGGAAGTATCTGTTTTCCTTCCCCCTCCCCCAATTGTTGTCTGGAGTTGAGAGACTCCTTTAAAAGGCTCATGAGAAAACCTGAGACATGGGCTTACCTTCACTTGACAGAACAATTCTCTCTTACATTTTGTTACAGATTTCTAGTATCAACCCTATTTCCCTAGGAGGCCAGGGTGTGGAGAAAAAAAATTGCCTAAGTTTATGAACTCCTCTTTTCTTGACATCCTTCCTGGGATGAACTGGACTTTGGGACTGCACCACTAGAACAAGCCACAATGATAAGTGGTTCCTTGAAGGGTCCCTTAGGAACAATGATTAGAAGAGCCCAAGTCCATAGTAGTTAGAGAACTCACACTCTCTGCAACTAGCCACAAAACTTGAGATAGAGATCAAAAGATAAAGGAGGGCCGTCTGGTATTCAGGGTCCCTTTCATTTCCAAATCATAATTGCCCTTTAGGGTTTTTCTTTTTTTTTTTTATTGCATCTCCGTAGAGACTGTCAAAAATTGCCAATGCCAACTATATTGCAAGTTGTCATGGTGGGGTATTGGTAAAAGTTTTCAATTAGCAATAATCAAGCCTCAGATAAATCTCATTGGCTACAATACTGCCACTGTGCCAAGCTGGGGTTTTTCTTTTCTTTCTTTCTTTTTTTTTTTTAAAGCTGGGGTTTTTCAAAATGAATGCAAAGCTCAGGCTGGGCAAGGTGGCTCATGCCTGTAATCCCAGCTCTTTGGGAGGCCGAGGCAGGCAGATCAAGAAGTCAGGATTTCCAGACCATCCTGGCCAACATGGTGAAATCCCATCTCTACTAAATAATACAAAAAAATTGCTGGGCATGGTGGTACACACCTATAATCCCAGCTACTCAGGAGGCTGAAGCAGGAGAATCACTTGAACCTGGGAGGTAGAGGTTACAGTGAGCAGAGATCATGCCACTGCACCCCAGCCTGAGCAACAAAGGGAGACTCCATCTCAAAAAAAGGAAAAAAGAATGCGAAGTTCAAAGTGTCACTGGAAACCTTCCTCATACACCTCCCCATGCAGGAGAGGCAAGAGTGAGAAGGATTTTCTTGTTTTCTGTTTAGAGAAACTGAGGCTCAGAGCAGTTACGTTATTTGTCCCAGGGTTCATGGTGAGAACAGAACAAGAACAAGAACAAGTTGCCTGCCTCTCTCAGGTGTCCTCTTTCCATTAAACCTTTCAAAACCCAGGCTACTCAAGGCCTTCATAGATCTTCTTGATTTTCCTTTTTTTTTTTTTTTTTTTGAGATGGAGCCTCGATCTGTTGCCCAGGCTGGAGTGCAGTGACACGATTTTGACTCCTGGGTTCAAGCCATACCTCAGCCTCCCAAGTAGCTGGGACTATAGGCATGTACCACCATGCCTGGCTAATTCTTTTTCCTGGTGCTAACATCAGGTAAGACATTTTTTCCCTTTGTTATGATCCCTGTGGGAGTGGGGTCTGTTACTTAAAAAGGAAGAACAAGTTGAGCTGGCTCTGAGGAAGCAATATGCTCACATTATCGTGTGTGTGTGTGTGTGTGTGCACAGCATGCGTAATGCCTGTGCGAATGAGGGGCTAGACAAGCATTAGGTGGGCAGAACAGGTGAAGCATAGCGTTCAGCTAGCACTGTCTCAGGAAGTGTATCTCATTCTTGGGCTTCTGCCCAAATGGTCCCAAAACAATTTCCAGAAGAGTTAGAAGGACTTGTTTTCTGAGTTGGACTTTCTAACAGCAAACTGAGCTCTCCTGCTTAATTGCTCTTAATAGGTGCTCTTTGACACATCTTGGGCAAAATCATAGCTGCCTCCAGCTGGGTGTTTGTTTGTTTTTTGTTTGTTTTTTTTGAGACGGAGTCTCACTCTGTGGCTCAGGCTGGAGTGCAGTGGTACAATCTTGGTTCACTGTAAACTCCGCCTCCCGGGTTCAAATGATTCTAGTGCCTCAGCCTCCTGAGTAGCTGGGATTATAGGCGTGCACCACCATGCCTGAATAACTTTTGTACTTTGAGTAGAGACAGGGTTTCACCATGTTGGCCAAGCTGGTCTTGAACTCCTGACCTCAGGTGATCTGTCTGCCTTGGCCTCCCAAAGTATTGGGATTACAGACATGAGCCACCGCCCAACTCTCTAGCTGGTTTTAATGCCAAGCTGGTAATCCTGGAAGTGAGAGAGGATTGGATTGAAACTCTGCTGTTCTCAGTCCTGATTTTCTGCGAACCAGGAGCAAATCAGTAGATGTACTTTTTAGTCTTTGCTCAAGTCGCCCTGCAGCACATCCTGCCCAGTCTTCCCACTCTCCAATCTCAAAGCACCTCCTCCCCTGCCTAACCAGGCAGGCAGATCTTGAGTGTCTCCTTAGAGGAACTAGGTCAAATTAGGCAGTGCCAATTGGAGACACACTGCAGGAGGAGGAGGTATAAGGAGAGGGAAGTTAGTTACATCAGACAGTTTTGGATCGAAGATCTTGGAAGGAAATTGGCTTTAAAGCAACATAACTGTCGGCTGGGGGCAGTGGCTCACACCTGTAATCTCAGCACTTTGGGAGGCTGAAGTGGGCAGATCATTTGAGGTCAGGAGTTTGAGGCCAGCTTGGCCAATATGGTAAAACCCCGTCTCTACTAAAAATATGAAAATTAGCAGGACGTGGTGGTATTTTCCTGTAGACCCAGCTGCTTGGGAGGCTGAGCCATGAGAATCATTTGAACTCTGGAGGCAGAGGTTGCAGTGAGCCGAGATCGCGCCATTGTACTCCAGCCTGGGTGACAGAGTGAGACTCTGTCACAAAATAAATAAAGCAATATAACCATCACTCAGTGGTGGGGGGTAGGCACATATGTACTGTAAATTCAGCTCTGAGCTGAACACAAAGCAACTAGAAACAATCAGTCTTACAATTCAAAAGGAATATCTCTGTGAAGAGGGAGGAAAGGTTGGTCATTGTAACCTGTGGAGACACAGATTTTCTTCCTTGTTCTTATTTATTATATTTACTAGAGATGGGATCTCACTATGTTGTCTGGGCTGGAGTGCAGTGGCTGTTCACAGGCACAGTCATTTACACTATACCCTCAAATTCCAAGCCTCAAGCAATGCTTCTTCCTCAGCCTCATGAGTAGTTGGGACTACAGGTGC